TCCAGCTAGGAACTCCCAAGAACATTTCCCCATGAAGATCACCTATGAAAAATTCAGATGCTAGATGTGAAAGGTGTTGATTCATCATTATCGCGAAAGTGAAAAGTTTATTTCATACTAAAATCACACCGTTATACTATACACTAATAACACTGTACCAAAGCCGCAAGCTCTTTCCCCAGTACATGTGAATAATGAGGCGAAAGGAAAATCCTCGCTTAATTTTCTGTTTTGGGTTTCTAGTGCGCAGAGTAGAGTTAGTAACTAAGGGCTAACAATTTTAGAGGTGCTTTAGTGCATCAATAGGGCTATTAGTTCCACACTAGTTTATGACAGTTCTGATAGATTCTTGGGTTTAGGTGTGGGGTGGGGAGAATGCGGGGGAAGGTTGCATTAGTTAGTTTTCTTTTTTGAGGGGAGCAGAGAGGTGAGAGTGGTGGATCATGTCGTGATTGAGGGATTTGAGTCTGGTCTGATATGCTAGTACCGCTGGGAAAAGAGTTAGTGCAATGAACAGATTTTAAGTATTTGTATCTCAGGGATTCGTGAAAGATAAGACCGTCTGTCGAATTTTACTTGGAAGGTATTAGACTTAGAAGTCTCTGCAAGATAGTACGATGGTTTTAAACCCTGCCAGGTCCGGATTATGTGGTAGTGAAGTGTTTGGCTTTGTGTATATACGTAGGTCAGGTTTTTCTTCGCCGCTACTCCGAATTTGAGCTGAGTGGTCAAGGAAGTTTGACAGAGGTATAGTGTGCGGGTGATACGTTTCAATAATGTATTATGATCTAGTAGAATAGTGGAATGCTAGAATAGTCTCCGATGGCTGGGCGTGAAAGGACAGATTGGTATGAAATGAATACTATTCAGTAGTTTAAAACTTTAATTCTTCCAGCAACGCAACTGTATTGGTAATGACGTCCTAGGATTCCAAATGCAGCAAATTACCAAGAACCTATAATCGTTGGACTGCAGTCTGGGCCATTCATTCTCCGGATGAGTTACTAGATTCTAATATTCTGAAGCTAAAGACTAGTCATGCTTTACAGTTTTAGTAGGACGCAAAATTTTTGATTCTTCTTGAAAGGGTCCTTCTTCCTGGCGGGGCCTTTTTTTTCATTCTTCATCTTCACATCAAATCTCTACATCCTGCACTTCATCTCCATACCAAGCTTTACAACTTTCATCTTCATTTGGTACAAAATTTACACCTTACATCCTCATCCAATACAAAGTTCAAATCTTGCGTCTCCGTCCTCATTCGGAAACTTCCTACCTCATATTTCTAAAATCATACGAAATATATCGAAATCTACAAATCGCTACAACCATGGCGAATCAAGTTATCATTCAACAAGACGGTGACTTGACTTTAGTCTTACCTCCCGTTTCAGAAACTTCCAACGTTCCTTATCTCTGCGAAGTAGAAAAGGGAAAGATGAATCACATCGTAGTTTCCTCCAAAGTCATGATGGAAGCTTCACCTGCATTCAAAGCCATGCTAGACGGAAGATTCAAGGAAGGAGAGATCTTGCAAAGGACTGGTAGATTGGAGATTTTACTCGACGATGAGAATCCATCGGCTATGAATTTGTTAATCAACATTATTTATGGTCATTACTTGGAAGACTACAGCTCTATTCCTTGTGATATAGATCTTCAAACTTTCACCGAGCTAGCAATCGTATTCGATAAATACCAGATTTGCTTGAATGGCACATTTCAAGCGGTCGCTCAGGAATGGAGAAATAGAATGTTGCCTTCGGATACGTTATTTGATGGAGATAACTTTCTTGAGGAAAATGCTACCATTATTCTCCCATGGATCTCTATTGCGTGGGTGTTCAAGTTGGATGTTACTTTCTGCAATTACACAAAAGTTCTTGTAAAATATGGCACTCCTGAGTCTATCCAAAAAATGGTAGAAAGGTTTGAAGAAATGGATGTATTCTTACCTATACCAGATTCTCTTTACGGTAAGTCTATATTATTATCCTGCAAAATCTCAATTGACTAACGGAAAAAAGTTAAAATCGAAGAAGCACGCCAATTAGAAATTGGAATCTGCTTCGATAACGTAATCAAATTGATGATACAACATGATGGATATGCACCTACACGGTGCCATTGCGTGGAAGAGGAAAAGGAACATTGTATTACAATTGGTCGAAGATCACTTTTCCGAAGCGCGCAGAGAATCGGTCTGTGGCCATTACCAAAGGCCCCATATCAGGGATATGATGTCTACACGATTAAGAAAACATGCGAGAAGTTGCAGATACTTACGTGTCGACATCCGGTTGATCGCATCGTCAGTCTGATGATTTGCGTTGAGCCCGTTGGATTACGATTGCTCAATATGGAAGGTCCGTTTTTGGAGGAAGGAGAATTGTCGAAAGATCTTATACCTAATCCAGGTGATGTGTTGGAGGGTTTGTTATCTCCTAGTCACATCTCCTCGGTTGGGAATAGATCGCGGGAATGGGTCGATTGCTTAGCATATAAAATTTGGCGGACACAGGTTTTCTTGTACGGGCGTTAATTTTTGTATCGTACTGTATTATCCTTATAGAGGCTATTGTGTGGTTTAGTTTTACCTCTTCTAGTCTAGTTGAGCGGGATGTATTCTACAAACTGTAGATAGCGAACTTTTTTCAAAAAGGCAATTGCAAAAAAAAAAATTACAACCAAATCATATTACTTGATCTTGCTTGACTCAAGAGAGTTATCTCTGCCGTTCATTTCAATATGATCAAGAAGTATATGAGTGGCTCCGATAGTGACTGCATCTTTCGTCTTCAACGCAAACCCAAAATTTCTATGAAGTCATGAAGCGAGGATGAGAAAAGTAGGAGAGCGAAAGATATCAAAACATCTGCAATAATCAGAAAAATCTGGAAAATAATGAAAACAAAAGAATCTAACGATAGCAAAGTTGAAGAAGTAATAGTTCCGATTCCTTCAAAACATGTGAGGTTAGTATAAATATTCAAGTCATTTTCAACATATAGATGGTTTCAAAGAGGATGAAAAATTACACACAGAATGTATTGTCGAAGTCTATGTAAGACCCTAAAGAACTAGACATTGCAGAATGGACAGTATCTACCACAATTACCAATTTGAATCTCTATGTCTCGACTTGGGGTATTGGCCAATTCGTTTGAGTATTCAAGACATTCATAGATTTGATGGCACGTTTGGGATGTTGATTATAGATTTGATGGCACGTTTGGGATGTTGATTCCATGATGGATGTTGTTTTGATGATTTCCGTCCGATATTGAACTTGAAGGGTTTAAATTCTAAGTTTCAAATGTCCCGAACATTTCTAATGTTCCTCATAGAAGCAGTGAATCAATTTTTTACTGATAGTCCAGCATGTGTAAATGACTCTCGAGGCTTCAGTCAGATGATTTTTAATATCTCTGTCAAGAGAGTTTGATCAGTTATATTCTAAATCACATCTATTCGATATGGATTTGGAATCATTTTCTACCTTCTTTTCAGTATCCATCCATCCATAATCATCCTATGATTATAAAATCTAAATAAAATTAAAGTCTTACTGTGACGGAAATCCCTGCTTTCCTCCCACCTTTATTATATAAGAAACCTCAGGTACATTAACCATGTCCACACATGATACGATTACTCGAGATTAGTATGCGATTTAGGTGGCCTGAGGATCAGATCCGGACAAGTACTAGGTATCAATGGTTATCGGTAAAGTAAGATCATTGGAGGAATAAATATGACTTCTTTTTGCCTAGCCATTGCGGCTAGGCCATTCATTTGTGTATATATAGAGTAGCTATCCCCATCTACAGGTGCTCTTCACCTGTAGATTCTAAGTTAAATACAATTGCTGGTCTATAAACACCCTTTTGGTCACATTATCTACAGGTCATTATTATATTCGATTCGACTGAGGGATCAGTCGTTAATAAACATTCAAACCACCCTCTCAAATTAATTCCAAAAGACGTTCTATACCTACCCGAAGGTGAAGCAAAAAGAACCTTTTGAAGGCCCCAATTCCGTGAGACGCACTCTCTCGACGTAAGGCTCTCCCAACCCCTTAAAAAATAAAAAACGACAAAATCGGAAACCACTTGCTACATAACAAGATGGCCCCTCCGAAGGAATCACCAGCCAACTCCCTAATTACCTCTGGAGTGAATACACGAAGCCGGAAAGGAAAAGAGAAAGTTCCTACCTTAACAGATCCTTTCGCTCGTTCTGGAGCACTACCACGATCTCCTCCACAACTAGAGGAGCAAGAACCACCGTCCTTATCCGACGAAGACCCTGATGATTCCGACTTACCAGGACCACATCCCTTACCTCAATATTCTGTTGCGGAAGCTTCCCAGCCCATCCCCTCAGATGCCTCGGTGCAACTCGAGCTACGCAAGCAGATCTTGGAGCTCCAAGACGAATTACGTCGACGGGATGAAGCAGACCAATTACGAATGGCGGAAGGACCATTTCCACCAATCGTTCCTCCTGAAGAAACAGGACCACGCGCTAGGAAACACAGCTCCTTCCACCCCACTTCCGCAAGTGCGGGGCACGACCCGGATTACCCCGAGAACCAGGCCATCCCCTCAATTGAAAAAACGCCTGCACCCGATCCCCGCCGCCCCATATCAATTCCCTTGTTATCAAAACGGAAAGTTGATTTCTCCGGTGGTCCAGGAAGAGAGACCCCGCAGGTTCAAGCTGTACGACAACAATCATTGCTAAATCCCCCTGCCTCACATTATCCAGAGAGACGCATCCCCAATCTTTCATCTAAACTCTCGGATGGGAAGGCTCCTAATATCCGTATACGTGCTTGGGAGAAGATGATCCTGGGCCACCTTCTCGATTACCACCATGATTTCCGATCAGAGAACGCACGCCGTACATGGGTATTCAATCAGACCGAAGATCGAGCCATGACCCTGCTCGAAGGTATTTACTTGGATGATGATTACGATGCATATGCACTAGTGGATCATGTCGTCGCTATCCTTACAGACCCCGCTGAGGTTGCTACCGCCAATATTGAATACAACGCTTTGCGTATGTCTTCAAAAGAACACTTTTGGGAGTTCTATAGTAGATTTCGAGATGTTGCTACTCGTGCTGCCATTACTGACGATGAACGATTGAAGAACGATCTCTTTGATAAGACCCAATATCGTTTAGTACACGACAACAAACAAGAGTTCTATCAAGCGCGTACAGTTGGAGAATATGCTAGAGCCCTACAGAACTCTGATATCGCACAACAACGACTTGATGCCCGGCCCAATTATCAGAGGGCCAAAGCCCCAATTCTTAGTACTCAGAACCCTGGAACCACGCTCCGCTCCGATCAACAACAATCCAGAACCTCCGGATTCGTCCGTTCGCCTTCTGCTTCATCGGCCGCCCGAGGTAATCTCCCTCCGAATGCTGTTCTGCCTAAGCATGGCACATTCAACACCCCTAATATCCAATCCAATCGACAACCTTCTGCCTCTCGCGAGACCAATGTAGTAAGCTTCAACGAAGTCGATGAGGTCGCCCTTCTTGATGCCCATGAGGACTATAGTGAGAAATATGAAGATGCATTGGATACATTCACAAGCTCCGAGGAAGATCTCCCTCGATCAAAAAAGGTCAACCATAAGCACTGTCTCGTTTATGGGACTCATAAAGGATATGTCAAGACTCGATTTACGCACTCTTCTTGGAGGTGCCCATATCACAGTACCTATTATGTTGGTACGTGATGGGACCGCAGTAAAATTCGATGCCCTGATCGATTCTGGAGCAAATGGTTATGCTTTCATGGATCCAGCTACGGTTAAACATCTGGATCTCCTCTCAAAAGCAAGAACGTGCAAGCTTCCCGAGCCTCTATCTGTTAAAGGATACGATGGCGCTATTGGGAAATATGATATTTCTTTTGTTAGTTATTTTGATTTACATATAGACAAGCGTATACAACGCAAGACCCCTTTTTTGATACTTCCACTTGGAAGTCATCGTATTATTCTCGGACGCCAATGGTTAGCTTACCATGACATCTGGTTGAACTGTCGCCGACGACAATTCAGGTGGCCTGAAAGCACCCCCCCTTCAGTTTCTTTTTCGCGATATATCACTATTCCTCGAAACTCTCTCCCTATCCAGAAAACTATCAATCGTTATCATCAATACGATGCCGATCGAAGGATCGGAAGTTTGGAAAGGATATCGCGGCTCCAAAGATCAATTTGGTTGAATCTTTTGACCAAACCGACCAAATCGACCAAATTGACCAAATCGAACAAACCGATCCAATTGAACCCACTCCATTGATTGATCCCCAGCTGAGCCAATCAGATCACAATGATACCATTGCTTTAGAAACATTGGCCCCAACCATTTCATCAAAGCGAGGGAATACCCACGAGAAGTCTTTAAATAGAGATATTGTTCGAATGAATAAACTGTTGAAAAGCCCTGAGACTCCGCCTAAGCCCACTCAACCTTACCCTCGGAAACCACGTTTAACTTACCCTATTTCGTCATGGGATACCCCTTCAGTATTGGATATCGCTGCAATCGATGCACATATCTTTAATCGATATCTTTTAAAATCTACAGAAAAGGATCAGTTATTTACATGTACCTATCATGAGGTTGAGGCCCTCCTCGATCAACGCTATGAGGAACAAGATCGCCATAATGAACTTGCTACCTTCGAACAAGCCCTTAAACGCTCTTCCAAAGAACGTAGCACGAAAGCCTTAACCCTCCTAGCTATGTTAGAACCCGATGAACCTCCACTTCCTGATAAATATCACGAATTCGAAGATGTTTTCAGCAAACAAGAGTCGGATATCCTACCACCTCATCGCTCTTACGATCATTCGATCAAATTGGACGATAGAGCTGAGGAATCTTTAACCTATTCTCCACTATACAAGATGTCTATTGAAGAATTAGAGGTTGTCAAAAGATATCTGACCGATAATCTATCTAAAGGATTCATCGAGCCAAGCCAAGCTCCCTTCGCTGCTCCTGTCCTCTTCGTTAAGGAATCTAATGGAAGTTTAAGATTTTGTATCGATTACCGCAAGCTCAATGCTCTCACTCGCAAGGATCGTTATCCTCTCCCTTTAATCGACGAGACCCTGGCGCGCCTCCAAGGTGCCAAAATTTACACCAAGCTTGATATTCGCCAAGCTTTCCACTGCATCCGTATGGATCCAGCATTGGAAGAGTATACTACCTTTCGTACTTGATACGGAGCATACAAATGCAAAGTTCTACCATTTGGTCTTACCAATGGTCCTGCCACCTACCAACGCTATATGAATGATATTCTTTTCGATTACCTCGATGATTTCTGTACAGCATATCTCGACGATATTCTCATCTATTCTGAGGATCCCTCAGAACATGATACTCATGTCCGTAAGGTCCTACAACGACTTCGAGATGCTGGCCTTCAGGCAGACCTCAAGAAATCCGAATTCGATGTCACCAAGACTAATTACTTGGGATTCATCATCTCTACTACAGGTATTGAAGTTGATCCTGATAAGATTGCCATCGTGAAAGAGTGGCAATACCCTTCCACTCTAAAAGGTGTATAATCCTTCTTAGGATTCTGCAATTTCTATCGAAGATTCATTCCTAGCTATGGAGTGATAGCTTCACCCTTGACCCATTTAACCAAGACAAATGTCCCTTTTTCTTTCAATCAGGAATGCAAAGAAGCCTTCAATACTTTACGAGGTTTCCTCACCACTGCTCCCATACTCCGACATTACAATTACAAGCTTGAAAGCATACTCGAAACCGATGCTTCCGATGGAGTAATCGCCGCTGTTCTATCACAAAAGCATGATGATCACTTGTTCCCCGTAGCCTATTTCTCGAAGACAATGCTTCCTGCAGAACTTAATTATCCTGTCCATGATAAAGAACTTACCGCCATCGCAAAGTCCTTTGGTCATTGGAGAGCCGAACTCATAGGATCCCCTTTCCAGGTAAAGGTCTATACTGATCATAAAGCTTTGGAGTATTTTATGACCTCCAAACAATTGAATAGCCGACAAGCTCGTGTTGCCGAACTCCTTGCCGACTTCAATTTCCTCATCATGTGTCGCCCTGGCAAAGAGAACCCTCTGGCTGACGCGCTTTCCCGCCGTGAGGATGATATCCAAGCCACCAACCACCAAAAGAAGGAACAACGCGCTCAATAGTTGTTTAAACCTGATCAACTAGATCCCAACATCCTCCGCCAGGCAAAGGAAGCTCCTATTCTTGCACCTCTCGAACGAGCCAAGCCATTCTTCACAGTAATCGACAGAATCTTAGAAGCTAACCGCAATTCAACTAGCCTTACCGCTATGCGCAGAGAAGCTATTCATGCCTCTGAGGATCCCAATCGAAGATCCCCACTCACTATTGAGAATGGTTTACTCCTTCATAAGGGAAGAGTAGTTATCCCCTTTGCTGACAATCTACACACCTATCTTATCCGCGAAGTCCATGCTCAACCTACCACTGCCCACCCAAATGCCGAGAAAACCTCATTACTCATTTCCGAGCATTATTATTGGAAAGGATTTCGAGATGATTTTGCTAGATACGTCAGGAATTGCGATCTATGCCGACGTTCCAAAGTCCCGCGGGATAAAAAGCCTGGACTCTTGAAGCCCCTTAGTATTCCTCAACGCCCTTGGGAACATATCACAATGGACTTCTGTAGCTTCAATAAAGACAAGTATGGATATGACAATATTCTGGTTGTTATCGATAGGCTCAGCAAGCAAGCTATCTCTATTCCTTGTACTAAGGAGTGCTCAGAGAAAGAATTCGCCGAGCTATTCATATATCATGTTTATCGTTACTACGGTCCTCCTTCCTCAATCCTATCCGACAGAGATACCCAATTCGTCAGTCAATTCTGGCATGAGCTCTCTTCTATCTTGAAAATCAAGCTAGTACACTCTTCTACTGACCATCCCGCTACTGATGAGCAAACAGAGATCTACAACCAATACTTGCAGCGACGTCTTCGCCCATTCGTGAATTATTATCAAGATAATTGGTCAAAGTTGCTCCCATTGATGGATTACGCTCAGCTCACTCTGCCTCATGATACCCTCAGCAAGATGACCCCCTTTGAAGTGCTCTATGGATACAAGCCTCGCATCGATTGGGATTGGAAAGAACATAATTCCAATCCTACAGACAAAATCAACGTTGAACAAGCCCACGAGTTCGCTACGCGTGCCCATAATGCTTGGGATTTCGCCCGACAGCAAATTCAGCGCGCTCAAGATTGGATGGCTGAACAGCACAATAAACACCGCCGTACTCCCGGCTTTAGGGTAGGAGATACAGTGTGGTTGGACTCCCGATATTATAAGGCCCAGCGCCCCTCTCGGAAGTTGGATTTCCCCAATTCCGGGCCTTTCAAGATTGTTGAACAGATTGGTGAATCATATCGCCTTGCCCTGCCTGCCTCTATGCGCATATTCGACGTATTTCCTCCCGAAAAGCTCCGATTGGCAGCGGAAGGCCCACTTCCCGGCCAAGTTAATCCCCCCGCCCCTCCAATTGATGTCACTGGAGAGGAAGAATGGGAGGTGGAGGAGATCTTAGCTTCGAAACTCAGGTACAAGAACATTATGTATCAAGTTTCCTGGAAAGATCATCCGCTTGATCCTACTTGGTATCCAGCAGATGATCTCAAATACTCTCCACATAAACTTAAGGAATTCCACATTGCCAACCCTAATAAGGCTGGACCACCCAAGGCCTTGCCTCGATGGATTGAATGATATGACGCTGGAGACGACAACTACGACGATTAAACGGGTGACAGACCTATGATGGAAAGCGCGAGGACTCGCTTTTTCAAAGGAGGGGGTAATTTGACGGAAACCCCTGCTTTCCTCCCACCCTTATTATATAAGAAACCTCAGGTACATTAACCATGTTCACACATGATACGATTACTCGGGATTAGTATACGATTTAGGTGGTCTGAGGATCAGATCCCGGACAAGTACTAGGTATCAACGGTTATCGGTAGAGTAAGATCATTGGAGGGGATAAATATGACTCCTTTTTGCATAGCCATTGCTGCTAGG